GCATTTTGGCCAGGGTCAACCCACCACAGTTGTTTTTTGGGACTTTGGTTTTTTGGGTATTTTCCGTCCTTGTCCCTTCTGACTGTTTTAAACTGGTAGTAACATTATGAGAACTTTTAAAACAACACTTAAATTATTACTCCATAACACATTGGTAAAAAGCAGTAGCAGTACCTTAGGAGAAAGAAATGGATGAAAAAATGGTGAAATCATGATCGTAGATGCAAATAGTAAGATGTTGAGCTGTTATAAGGGACCTTTCTATTTTGCCAGAATTAAGCCTACTTATTAAATAGAGTCACCGCTGGAGTTTATGAATTTTCAGTGTGCTTTCTGGAGGGAAAAAAGGACATAAAAAATTAGAAATATTACTACAACTTCCGTTTTCTTAATATTCTCAGTATTAATAGTATCAGAATTTATTCTGACAGAAATGATAATTAGGTAATTCCAGTGAAACAAGCCAATGCCACCATCCTGGCAGCCTTTAGTTTCCCTTAAATTACATTCCCATTTTTCCTGGGGAAGGCTCAGGATTTTTTTCCTTTTCCGGAAGATGATTGTTGGAGTTAACACATCCAAAATGGTAGCCTCCTTGTTTCCACAAAGCTCCTGTGGCACACTGCTCATATGCGTCCTTGGGATGTTCAAATATGTGAATACCTGCAGTGTCAGTGGTGTTTTGCTAGCATGGGTTCAAAGATGAGAGTGCTGCATCTGTTCTGATGATATGTCTGGGAGCTTTCTTGTACTTGCATTACCTTCTGTACTTTAAAATAAACTATTTGGATGAATTATTCAACAATAATATCCAGCACCTGACCAGCTTTATCTGGAGTGTAACCACTGGACACCTATGACTTCTGCATAATGCCTAGGTTAATTCAGACATTAGCTTATTCATTATCAGCAGTTTTAATCAAGAACTGAACTACCTGCTTGATATTTATCTTTTTGTGTGTGGGTTTTGGGAGTTTTTGATAAATATACAGAAAGAGAACAAATAGAATGATGTCTCGTTCCTGTAGAGATTTCTCTGTTGATTTTGACCATCTTCTGGATTGAGTTTAATGAGTCTGTACTGGCTTATACTGATTTGCCAATGTACACCTACAATCTGTTATTTCTGAGAGGTGAACATAAATCACATCCAAATATAATCTATTTACTTACCACCTGATTCTGATAGATATTCCTGCATTGTATAATTTATGCATACATGCATGCGTTAAAAGGTTTTCTTTGCAGAGAGAAAATAAACCAGGAAATTTTAAAATGTGTACTTAAGCTCAAAAAAACTGATGGAAACTGCAAAACTGATGGAAAATATCTGCTTCCACTGCCCACTCAGTCTGCCAACACTTTTTATCCTTACAGCAATTAAAAAATATGAACAATATTTTAACTGTAATTGCTGTACACAGTATTAAATCAGATACCACCCACCAGCTGTCCAAAAAAATGGGAGAAGAGGAAAATAGATTTATTTCTCTAGTTATATGTGAGTTTGAGATGTATTTGAAACTAGGTTGTCCTCTCATGACCTTGTTTGATAGAAATGGCACTTAATGTGAATAGCCTCTTTTTTTCTGTTTGCACTATCGTTTATTTTTTTCCTTCATGGTTCATACACTTGTGCTGGTTTTACAGATAGTCATCTAAATCTGTCATAGCCTATGCATGAGTGTCACCACAGTTAAAGTGGATACTAAGGGCATTCCAAATTGTCAAATGGGATATAGTCAGGATTATTAATATGGAAACTGGGTAAATCAGGAGTCATTTGCTTAAGTAATAGATTTAATCTGATTGTATGTCCACCCATAGAAGTCTATTTCATAATGCTAAAAGGCTTCAGGTCCAAATAATGTTTCCAGGATACAACTTTTGGGAAGAATATTATCAGTTAGTAAAGCTGAGGGAATGGGACAATAAGCCTCTGTCCCTTAATTCTCTTGGTTCGATAATCAGAGAGGCATTCCGCAAACAGCACATTCTGCAGATGCAGTCTGAGGGTGAGTTTCTTCGTAGTCATGGGAAAAGTACTAGTCTGATCCTCAACTGTTAGTTTAGTGAGGCATTTTGGAAGACAGAAGCTTCACAACTGCCTTTACTAAAGATGCAGAAACATGATGTGAAATTGTATTCACTGATTAGAGTAATCATTATCTACAATATGGTTTAAGGGTGTATAATTTCAGTCTGACGTGCAGCCCGAGATATATAGCCTTCCTGGGCCCATGAAATCATTAGAAGCCTAGAATTTGCCATTCTGGATCAGAGCAGTGGTTGTCAGATAAGAGGCAAAGTCCTGCCCTCTTTAGTGTCACGTAATTGTGGCTATAGAGGAAAGTAAAATATCTAGAAATGGACAAAATTAACAGTGTAATGTTGTAGATGGTGGCTCCTTTTCTTAATATTTTCTGTACTAATGGACGAGGTGAATCCACTCTAATTGACCTGGAGTTCTACAATACACTTATATCTATGGCGGAGGTTGTGATCAGCAAGCTGCATTGAACTGGCAGAAGAATATAGCCAGGCTTTGCTATTGTAACCAGTATTATCCATTTTGATACTCTTTCTTAGATGGTTTTGGCGATTTTTAAGTTTTTTTATAGTTTTTTAAAATTAAAATCCTTTTCATAATCATATCCTTTGCTTATTAGTTTCTGTAGAAAATCCTCAGCTCTATGTACACAATTGCTGACATAATTCATCACACTCAGACAGTCCTGTTACTTTACATAAGTGTCGTCTGAAGAAGCTTGGCTAGTAACATAGCAGCAATTTGGAGTCAGTGGTCAAGTATATGTATTTGGGGAATTATGTATGCATTATGTGGATTGAGAGTGTTAGGTAACACTGCAGAGCAAACGTCTAGGGCCATCTCTCTGGAGCCATTTTAACTGGTGGGATAACTTTCAAATCGCCTGGAGGTTTACTTAGGATCACTGCCTAATATTCAGATGCTTATCTAAGCCATGCTCATCTTTTGGGCATCTTTTTCCTCTCAGACCGTCACTTGTCTACTTCAAGTACCTCTCCACTGCCCCACACATAAGAACCAGTGCAACCTATAATTGCTTTCTACCTGTCCTTTGCTGTCTTCTGTAGTAAGGCAGTTCAGTTTCTTATGGCTCTGTAAAGGGTTTCTGTCTTCTTGAGGAGTCCTGGGATGCCCTTACTCTCTTCTAGGTAAAAATGAAATTTAGAGAAGTGGGGGTGTGCTGAAGGTATCTATCTAGGCTGTTCTTGAAGTGTTAAACACGCTCCTTATTCTTCCGTGTCAAGTTATCTTGTTATTTTTTCTTGAAGAAATAATGCTTTCGTAACAATGCAAAAGTGTGGTAAGACTGCATTCATTGGTTAGAGTTATATTTATTAATAATTAATAAATTATCATTAAGTATTACATAGTTTAAGGGACTTAATTAATTATTACATAGTTAAGGTTTTTTTCCCCATCTGAAATTAAGCTATAGGTGTGTGGCCTTTCTATAGGCACTGACTTCATATACCCAAGAAGCTGTATCGAAAGAGGTTTATTTAATTATGGGGAATCAATTTCCTAGCTCTTGCACATTTTAATTACAAATTTACTTTTTTTTTCTTAAATAAAGTGTATATGATGCCAAGGCAGTATGAAACTTTGGATCAGAGGTTAGATAATTTTCTGTACAAAATACGCGTATTCTCAGTTCATATTTACATGTCTGTTGAGTGTGTTAGGTTCAGCATGCTGTACCTTGATGCTAAAGGTCAAAGAAGTTGCAGAGCATTCCTTTTTTATTAAAAGCAGGATAATCTTTAGTCAACTTATCTGAAAAATGGTTTGTGTGCTTCTCAATACAAGATTTGTCTTGCCTGTGGTGTAACCTCAGTTCTGTAATAGTCAGATAGCTATAATATGCCGTAACGTATTGTTTCTCTTTTTGCTCCATGAATTTCTTAGCCACAAAATATTTTGCTCTTATAGGTCCCAGAAGCCATAAGAAAGTGCCAGCGAGCTGGAATTACAGTCCGCATGGTCACTGGAGACAACATCAACACAGCACGTGCCATTGCCATAAAATGTGGAATCATTCATCCAGGAGAAGACTTTCTCTGCCTTGAAGGGAAAGAAAACAGAAGGATCCGAAACGAGAAGGGAGAGGTAATTTGTATACTAAATCCATACATATTATGAATATATTATTAAAAAATAGCAAGAACACTGAAATGTTGTTTCTCTTGCACTGATTTGTAGCTCATATCAGTAACTACTTGCAGAGATTGCTACTTCTTTCTCCACTAGCCTTTTGCAATTCATAATACCAGTGAAAATGCAGTCTTTACTTTTCATGATGCAGAGCCTCTATCAATTTAGTGCTAGCCTAATTCAGCAAGTTTTAGAACCATAGCACTAGTCTACAAGAAATCAAAACTAAGTGCATTAAAGCAGGTTGGTTAGCAAAGAGGAGAAGGAATTCAATAGCAGTTTGCAGGTCTGTCTCATAAAAATGCAGTCTCTACTGAGAACCAGCTCCTCTCATTTTATAGTACTTCGTCTAATATACTGCTGTATCCACTCACTCCAATGATCTGCATAACTTAATCTATTATTCGGAAGATTTTTAACTCATAAAAGATGGAGCTAAGACATAGGCTATTGAAGTCAGCTTAAAAAAAGTAAACTCTATGCTGTCTCTTTTGAGTCCATCATTAATGAGTGGACACAGTCGTTTACTCTTTGCATTGTTTGATGGAATCCTGGGAACATTAGTATATGCAATTGTCCTTGTTGCTATTGGTATACAGAGAAAATTCTGACATTATTGGTGCCAGAACAAAGTGAAGAACTTGGATTTAAATGTCATATAGAACAACACACTTTTACTTGTAAACATATTTGGTCAGCTTTGAGAACTTCATTATCCTATATCTAGAGTCATGATTCTGCATGGAATTATCCATAAAGATGATAAGAAAGGCTGATTAGATACTGTGTCAAAAATTACCTACGTTAGCTAACAGTTGAGCTTTGGTAGTAGAAAACTTGCCTTTTTTGACCTTGCCCTCATTTGCAGCATTGATGGCTGTTGTAATTTTTCTGTGCTTTTGGAAAAAAGTTCTTAATAGCGAAGTGAATCATCTGATACATGGACACAAACATGCTTTGCATTTTGCTAATCACAGGCTAACAATTTTACTGGTTTGTTTTTTTTTGTGTTCCTCCCACTCTAGATTGAGCAAGAGCGGATTGACAAAATCTGGCCAAAGCTTCGAGTGCTTGCCCGCTCATCCCCCACAGACAAACACACTTTGGTAAAAGGTGCGTGGAGACTCCCTTTGCACACGTGTGTAAATTAATGCCAAAGTTATTGAAGAATACTCGGCACATCATCTGCATTGTAGAAGTTTTACTGTTGCAAATATATCTGAGTTTTTACCTTTAATTGCATATCTATATATAATGCAAGGAATTTTTCTCAGTAACTAAGTCTCTTGTGTTTGCGTTCTACCTGAGCCTTCAAATGGAAAATAATAGGAAACTGGTTGGCATGAATAACAGAAATACTAATAAGATCTCATATTTACCTTGTGACTTTTATTGGACTAGAATGAGGCTTTAGCTGAGAAAGGAAAATGTGTGTTTGCTGGTCAGAGAAAATATTGTTGAGAAATAGGTTGTTCTTCATAGAAACAAGAAGGGGCATAAATTTTATAGTCTTTGCCTATACCTCTTTATGAAGAAAATGAGAACAAGCTCATTTAGAGTGAATCAAGTCACTGAAGTGCATCTGTTCTCCCACAATTATTTTTAAAGAGTATTCCAGGATAAACAGCTTCATGTTACAATAGCAGTTATTGGAGGTCATGTAACAAGGAGCCGCCTGCTTTAGCATTACATGAATGGAGATATGTATTTTGAGCCAATTCTATTTTCCTATAGGCTCACTAAATTGTATGGTTTGCACTGGCTTCCTTTATATTTCTGGTTGTATTTTCAGAGTCTGTTTTTGTCCTGTAAAATCTGCACCATACAAATTCTGTTCTCTTACCGTGCTGTCAGCAGATGGAATGCTCTATGAAAGAGGGATTTGTTTGCAGTTTTCTTTATAAAGCCTTTTTCATATCTGTAACTCACACTTCTTGGATGACTTGAAATCTTATTCAGTTGACTTTGAAGCTCACATTTAAAACACAGCTGATGAAATCAGAGAATTTCTAATCAGGAATAACTTCATTTCTGGCCATGATAAGATGGCGGGGGGGGCTGGCGCAGATGGAAGACCCATCAGTGCATGGCTATTTGCTCGCTTCCTGATGAAGAAAGAACTGGATTATTGTGTGAAGGCCCTAGAAAGTCTGGAGAGACTCTTAGCAGGTCTTGGAGGAGCTAAAGTTTAGGATAAGATCCAGCTGATCAGTTACATGTTTTCAGCTGATTGACTACTTAAATAATAATTCACCTTTAGGTAGGAAATAATTTCTGGATCTATCCTTTTGGTACAGCAAGGTTTTATTGATATTACTCCATACATGACTGTTTGCAAAGGCTTTTGAGCAGTATGTAATTTTTTTTAAAATAGGACTTTAGAGCAAAAGTTCCATTGCGTATTTGAAGATTGGATCAGTTGGGTCCTTTGGGATTGGGACCACTGTACATGAAGAGCTGTGGAAACAGGGATTGTTCAGGAGAACTAAGATATCTTGTGAGCCCTGGCACGGTGCACGAGGTGGGGCAGCTGGAGACATACTGCTGTTACTCACCCTCTCCAGCCACTGTTTAGACCAGTGGTCTCCGACGTGGGGTATGCACATGTTAGGGACAATCCACTGGGATTCAGGAAGAAAGTATTTTCTTACCATTATTAAATAGAAGACTATTTTTAAGTTACTTTTTATTTAATCTCTATCTCCTCCTTTTCTAATGGATGTTTTATAATGTACATAATATAGTAGTACATATGTATAATTTATAGATAATATACATATTGGGGGGGCGTGTGCTCAAAAGATTTTACCAACAGGTGTTCATGATTGAAAAGGTTTGGAGACCCTTGGTTTGGACAACATCATTATTAGCTCCATAGGTCAGTGTTAAAACAGCACAAACTTAGCTGAAGTCTCCTTACTTCCCAACTGCATAGAAAATGCTGTCTTACAGCTCTTAGAGGACATTACTTGTATAGCCTAATAGTTTATTTGTTTCAAAAATACACAACAATTTGTGTTTCATTAAGTGGATTAAGTAAGTCCCTTGGGAGTACTCATTTGAATCATTTAGGATTTTCCCTTAAGAGGAAAATGAAACCTTTGCCAGAGAATATGCAATCAATAAAGAGCTGAAGAAAAAATAAGCAACAAATTATTGATGTTTTATAGCATATGCACTTTGACGATCCAAAAGATATTTACTACTACTGAATGCCTTATGCATTAAAGATGTGACCAGGTCAAATAATAGAGCAATTAAGTATCTAATGAACTTCAAGAACAAGTCTGTGGAAAATCATGATGGAAATTTTTGGCTGGTAATACTCCAAGGGCCATTAAAAGTTACAAGAAGCTATTTAAGTGTTGACTAGTTTTGGGCCTCTTGTTAAAATGTTATGTTTTCCTCAGACACTTGAGGGATCAAGAGGATTTTCTCTTCTTTGATGTGTTCTATCTGCTCTAGGGTAAAAACACATCACAAAATAAACTTTTTTTATGTTTAATTTTTAATGACATACAGCTGCTGGAGGGAATATTTTTTCTCCTTAATGTAGCAGAATCCTACCCAGCAAAAGGATCATTTTTATTTTGCATTTTTGTTTTTACTGCTGCTAAGGGACTAGCGAAAGGCTTGGTTCAGCTACACAGGCTGAAATAGCATTTCAGGATCAACAGACAGTTTCTCTCAAATATTTATGGCTTTGAAGTAGAAGTAGATTGAAAAAAAAAATACATCAGAATGGTTTGTCATCATGAACTGTTTCATTGAAACAAAAATGTCAGATATTTCAATCCAACTGAAATACAATTTCTTATGGATTTTATGACATCCATTGGTATTTCATATTTTTTACCCTATTTCAAAATATAGTAAGTACAAATGCATATCATTTAGACTGATGTGTCCTTATAATACTACTGCTAAAATACTTCAATATTGTCATATTGTTTTTTAAAAATATTCAAAATGTTATTGCGTGGGACAGTATTATATTAATGACCTTATTAATGTGGATATGCCATAAGACTAGGTAGCGTAATAAAAATACAGAGGAGTGTATTAACTGAAATTCTGAAAGTAAATATCAGCATGTTGCAAATTGCAAGTGGTTTTGATTTCCATTTCAGAGAAAATGTTAATATTTTTATTCCACAATGTAAAAAGTCAGCTTCAACCAACTCTTCCCTGAAGTGAAGAGCACAAAAATAGTTTAAAGGAAGCAGGAGGTATACTGCATTTGAGTCTAGGGTTTTATACTCTGTAAATACCGCTTAGGTCTCTGTAGTGTATGTGATGTGTGACTTTGTGGGAGGCACTGGTGCCTTCAGGGTTCCCCGTTAGTGTTTCAGTCTTACTGTATGAAGCGCCATGGTGGTGCATGCTTAGTACAGAAGTCCGTGTGGTTTAGCCATATTCTTCTCTGCCATTCTAATGTCACAAACTTTGTGGAGCACTATTCATGTAACGATTACCAGTGCTGCCTGTAATGTTATATATAACACTTTTACATTAACCTTTAAAGCTCTGTTCCTGCACATACTTAAGCATGTAACTAAAGTGAATTTAAATTTTCTCTTTCAGACAGACTTTCTAAATTCTTAAATTCTCAGGGAGCTTCAAAAGGTTTGGAGGTATTAAAAATTAATCTGAACAGAACATGCCTATGAAAATGTTACTGCACCTGTCTATGTTTAGTGTGTCAAAGAAATATAAATATGTGTAAGCATATGGGGTGATCAGCTTTGCTGCATCAGTAGCACCTGCACTGATGGACATCTTTGAACTGCTCTACTGTAGCTAATTTTTTCCTGTCTGCCTGTTTTGAGTTAATCAGTTGAGGCAGAAAGAAGTATCTAAACCAAGAATTTTTTTCTCCCAGAACCAACTGTTTCTGATGCTACTCTGAGGGTGACAGTGCAAGTAAGAATTGTTTAAATAAAGTGGCATTTGTTCTGAAAGAAAGAGAGAACCTAAGGCTATACTTGATGTCTTTGATCTGAGCCATGGGTACAGATAGCTCCTTGTAAAAGAAATGGAAGACACATTTTTGGTTAATGTTCTTTATATTACTATCCTGAGTGGATTTGATTTAATGCTTACTTAATGTTAGATGGGAGGAGGGTGGGAGATAGAGGTTATAGTTCACTTTCAGCTGTGTGTACAGTACTGGTACCTTTTATAGCAAGCTCGTGTGTATAGTTTGATAGCTATACATAGCTGTTTTAAATATGATCATCTTACCCCTCATCAGAAATAGACTGCTTGCTCTGAAAGACTTACTCCTTATGCAAGGTACATGAATCCTCGCCAAACTCCCACAGCATCAACAGAATCTGTGTGTGGGACACCCTGTAATGTTATGCTCTAGGTGTATTCCTGTGGCTGTTAAATAAAATCGTTTTTGACAGAGGAAGGTTGTGGCCAAACACCTTAAGATGAGGGAACAGACCAATGAAACAGCAAAGCCTGTTTTGGGGGGAAACTTCGCTGAGTTTTAGGAATTCTCCTGCTATATCTTGCTGAGCTATTTTTATTAAAGTACTTTATGTAGGCATTCAACTGGAGTAAAGCAGTTTATTTTTAAGAAATTTCCTGGCTGTTAGACATGACTAGTTAATACTGAAGCTTCTTTTTAGTTGTTTTGAATGAGTGGAAAGGCCAGTGAGTGTTACAGAAATGGATATTCTCTTCATTGACAGTCTGTCAGGTCATGCCCTTATTTACATATTTCGCCAATCACTGAAGCACTTGTTCTCCACAGCTCAAGCTTGTCGAGGGAGATCCCTCTTCTGTTTGGTCTCCTTACACTGTTTGTAAAATCTGTACAGACATATTACTTAATACTGAAGAAAATTCTTGAGGTGAAATCTTATCACAGCTATTAACAGAATGATATCAAAGAAAGAAAAAAAAAGTAAAAGTAAACGTAGTCAGGAAGGAGGCAAGTGTGGAAAGAGGAGAAGCATTCAGAAATGTGAGCAAGGCGGGAAGAGGAACAGATTAAAAAGAGCATGCGGAAGTCAGGGACCTTAAGTACAGCTATGATAAATCCTCTGAATCTCAAATAATCACTACTGCTCCATTTTAGAAATTTGTATGACGTACAAATGAAAGTTCCACAAAGATCTTCTTTCTTCCTGTGAATAGCACTGAAGTCCATCCACATACTGTTGTACCATGCATTGGCATGTTTCTGGCGACACTAGCAATGGTCACTGTGATGACGGTGTGTGGCTGAGATGCTGATTGATAACCAAGACCATTTTATTTCTATTTTTCCTTGACTGCTGATTATGCAGTTCTGTGCCCTGGAGGGTGTTGGGCTTATCCTGGCTGCATAGTTTGCTTTTAGGGATAAGAATGACTACTAAACCTTGTACATTATGTAGCTGCACCCAGCAGTTGGCTGTTGCAGGGCAGCTGGTAGTATAGTAATTGACATTAAAGCACTATTTATGTCCATTAGGAGGTCATTTGTTAGGGCCTCTTCAACCTGATTTGGGTTGTGCCCCTGTTTGGAATCCAATTGTGAGAGGATGCTGTCTACCTGTTTGGACCAATTAATACCATGACTAATGTCAGAGATTTTAATGATTCTTTTCAGAAGCTTAAACTATTAATTTACCATCAAAGGATGTGTTAATAGTGAGAAGGGAAGACCAAGATAAATGCTTTTAACAGTAATGGCAGCTGACATTCTTATGTCTTTATGACTCTTCTTATGACTTTATTTAATAATACCAAAGGCAAATCACCCCAACAAATTGAAAACTCTAATTATAAGATTTTATCAGAATAATGTGCCATTCATCTGAGTTCATACTGCCAATGGAAAGTGAATAGGTTTTTTTCTGCTTTTTGTAAGACTGAAAAATACAATACACTGCTTCCATACTGCATTGCAATCTTCTGGGTGCCTGATAAGCCTGAACCTTGCCAAGAGGCAGCTATTGCTCTGTAATCTGCAATTTCCTATTTCTGGTTAGTTATCTGATATGCGAGTTACTTTTTTCCAGAGCAGAATGAAAGCTTTTCACACTGGGTAGGTTTTGATAATTGTTTTTAGAGGTTATGACTTTGTGCCAATTGTGTTAGCAAAAGCAATTTTGTCATTCCCCCCCCTCAAGTTACTAATATTGACAGGTGTTCTTGCATCCGACAGAACAATCCTGTGTTCTGGACTCGTATTCAAATGGACTCTGACATGGAAATGAAAACATGAGTGGTGAACAATCCCCATCCTATTAAAAAACAGGGCTGCTTCTGTAACCTTAGAAAAATTCTTTATTCTTTTTCTTACTTTCCCCATCTGCATAAGTGGAAAATACTTCCCTTCAGGCTAGTTGTGTGAAACTTGATTCACCAAGTGAAAAGTGCTTTCTTTTCTCAAATGATCTCGAAATTAAAGTAGAAGTTATTTTATTATGTCTATTTATTAAAATGTTTGGCTCCAGAATGCAAAGAAATATATCATCTTAATCATTGTTTGGCAGAATTGAACATGTCTGTCAAAATGCTAGTTCGGCGCCAGCTAAATAAAATTCATCAACAGCATTTGTTATCTTTAGGTTAAACTGATTGCCAGAAGGCATCCCACTAAAGCAGATAGTACAGTTCAGTCCCAGTTTAGGACAGCTTTAAGCATGAACTTAAGTCTTTGGCAAATCCTTTCCATTGATGTTTAATCAGAGAGCTGGGCCTGAAATGGGTTTACTGTGACATGTAATTTTTAATAGTAAAAATCTTCCAAAAGAACATAATGAGCTGATCTCATTCCCTTTTATGTCTATGCAAGTTTTGTTGATGTTTTGATGATGCAGGATCAGAACTTTCCATGCAAATTCTGGTAGTGATGTATAGTACTGATGACACTTCTTTCATAATTCTTTGCCTTAAAAATCAACTCTATTAATCTCCGTCTTAAGACTTGTGTGGTATTATGTAGTCTATATTACACAGACACTGCTACTTTTTAGAGGGAAATTTTATCTTGCTAACTATTTTATAAATATGCTTATGTACACACACACATATATACACTTTTTTGCAGGTATTATTGACAGCACTCAGGTGGAACAGAGGCAGGTTGTAGCTGTGACTGGTGATGGGACCAACGATGGACCAGCACTTAAAAAAGCTGATGTTGGCTTTGCAATGGTATAATCTTGAGCATATTCATTGATGTTTGTGTCATTATAAATTTGCTGTAAGAGTTTATTCGTTCATTAAGTGTTGAGAACGTTGGTTAGTTATTCCTTGTCAGTGATATGTTGGAGGGGGCAAGTTACGTTGCTTCAGAAATCTTTAATTTACTATGTTAGAACAACTGGTATTGCTTGTTTTGATATTTTTTCAGTATTTTCTCTAAGGAAGTTATTTGCTATATGCAGAATCTTCTGCCAAAGCAGAAAAATAAATTCTCTCTTCTTCACAACAGTGGAGTACTGTTTTGCTTTGCTAAAATCCATCACTAGTTGTAAAGATGTCTTCCCAACGTGCTCTGACTCTAGAGACTTTAATATACTAGACTATATATTAAGATAAGTAATGCTAATTTTTGTTAGCAATTCTCTTCCTGTATATTAATAAAATATCATCAATGATAAAAATAACTCAGCAGATCAGTAGTCATTAAGCTATAATTTAAAACACTCAAAACTATCATCACATGAATTCCACTGCTCTCTATCAATTCCCTTTTCTGCATCCATACAAAATGCAGAGTGTACTTAGCAGTCACTGCTACTATGCTGGGAAGTCTCTGTGTTAACTGTGGACTTTGAGTATGAAGATATGTATTCTAACTGTCTCTGTACTTTCTAGTAGGTAATTTTATTCACAATTAATTTTTCCAGGGTATTGCTGGAACAGATGTTGCAAAGGAAGCCTCAGACATCATCCTAACAGATGACAACTTCAGTAGCATTGTGAAGGCTGTAATGTGGGGACGTAATGTCTATGATAGTATCTCCAAGTTCCTGCAGTTCCAGCTCACTGTTAACATTGTAGCTGTGATTGTGGCTTTCACTGGAGCATGCATTACCCAGGTAAGGTTAACTTCAGCGGTTGCTTAAAGTGTGGGGCCAAGTCCTACCAAACTACATTTTCTTTTAAGTAGTGGTGACTTACATTTGGTTCTTACTTTGTGCAACAGAAAGTATGCTTTCTGAAATTCTTCTGTGCATTAACAGTGTATTTAGGATCAAGCTGCTAAATGTTAAATAGCTGTTGACATAGTGAAGTGTACTAATCCGTCTTCTCCAGGAAGTAAATTGCTTTTAGGAGCTGCTGATTTTTGTGCTGCCTCCATACAGTTTCCTGTTTTTTAATACATATTATTGTAATGACTGAGCCTGCGATGATAGGACAGAAAATATCAGGGAGAAGGAAGATGTTATCTGACTTTCGCTTTTCCTCTCAGAATATTTCAGTATTAAATATATATTTCTTGATGGATTATAGAATGGGATTATTATTTGCAAGAGAGCAGTACTGACACACAGAAGTAGTCCCAGCAGGGGAGCTTTTTGACTGATAAAATTATTTTGTTGCTTTCAGGCAATTCCTTTTAATTTCAGATGCAAATGACAAACCAATTAAATGACACATACAGTCGGACTTTGATCTCTATTTCTCCCTTTGCGTTACTCCCTCATTGCAATCCTGGTGTACGTGCAACACATTGAGGTCGTTTACAAAAACCGTATGTGAAAGGAAACCACCTCTTCAAATTACTACTTTTTTAATGAATGAGATTGTTTTCTTTTCCCTAGAAAGAAAACAGGACGCATTTAGTATAGTATGAGGTTTTAGTCCTTCGTTAGGAAATAGCCAAACTTGCAGGTTTTAGTGCTATCACTCCCTAAAACAATGTATGTTTCAGATGCTGCAGACAGGTTCTGTTACAAAAAGCCTCTTTTGATTGAGACTCACTATGGGAAAGCTGATGCTTCCCTCTGTTGTGCATGATACAGCTGCACATACCTGTTTCAGCAGGTGAAATTCACCTCATGCTCACCTGAGCAAAACAATGAATAAGTCATTAACTCTGTTCCAGGGTAAACTTACACTGTAATCATGGAATTGATACTTGAAATCAGAAACCCAGGTACCTATACAAAACCATGAGGTCAAACTTCTCCTAAGCCTTGACTGACATTTAGAGGCCTTTTTTTGTGCTGCATATGAGGAGTCTGCAAGCTCCCAGCTTCTGCTGTTCATGGAACAGCTGGGTAGATACAACTGTCATCATTTTGCTCCTCTGAGCTAAGTGAGCAAGGCTACTGCTAGGGCTGGGATTCTTCAGAGAAAGCAGAAATAGCTGTTTTTGAAGCAAGTGGAAGTGATTTTGACAAATGAAATAACAGGGGTTTTCTGTATAAAGGAAGCACTGAAACCTCAATTCACTTGTTGTCTGAGAAGTACAAATTGTGAGCTGCCGAGTGCTAGGTCCCTACCAGACTGCCCCCAGGTCTTGATGTTGCCTTGCTGTCACAATTGAGCCTGTGCTATGGGACAAAATTATTGATGTTGCAGTAGAAGTTGGGTAACTTTTCCTTTTCCCTTGGCCAATATTTCCAAGCGTATTGAGAAAATGTATAGCTGTGAAGTGATTGTTTCTGGTAATGGAAGGTATGTGAATAAGGACTAAAACTCCGGAAGGTGAGTCCTTCTGGGTTTTTATCAGTGGTACAAAACCATATAGAAAAAAGTGCTGACAGCAACGTGGTAAGAATACCATAGTTAGAACTGAGGTGAGTGCTTCCTTTTAAGACCCTGTTTTGTAGACCTTCAATCAATGCCTACTAACATTTAAGGTGAATATTTTTTGGTTAACATCCATCACTTTTTCAATTGCTTCGTGAAAGCATAAAGGGAAATATATTCTATTTGTTAACTAAGGAATTTCTATTTTATTCTTGAAGACATTAAACATTACTGAATCAGTGCAAAGACTATTTTAAATCAAATCTAAGTGCATATGTAGTGCATAATCAGTACAAGCATATTTCCCTTTTTAATTCTGGACCTTTCTTCATCCTTTGAATCATTCCATTGGCTTCTAGAAGGATTTGAATCAGGCCCAGTGCATTCACATTCCCCCAGTGATCTGTAAGACCATCACTGAGCCTGTCAAGTCTGTTGTCCCTGTTTACAGGTTTTAACGTATGCCTCCCAAAATTCTTATATTTCTGTCCAAATAGATTCTTATGCAATTTCCTGATTTGACATTAAAAGCGCAAATCCAAAGGAGAGGTCTGAAAGGAGCTGAAGTTGAAATTGTAGCAAAAAGGCAGCAATTATTTCCATTGTAATTCTGTTTACACTCAACAGTCTGACTGCTGATAATCCCAAGTAGCTCTCAGTTCTGTCTCATTCAGGAAGGATCTTGCCTTACAAATGAACGTTATTATGTTAGGCTTTGACTCAAAGACTCTAGCCAGTGAAAGGGCATTATGCTTGTTTGGCTCATAAGCTTTGCTAAAAATTAAACTTGAGAACATATTGTACCCTGTGGTTGCTATGAAAATAGCTCCAGCACAAAATGCATGAATATACAAAGAAATCTTGCATACAACAGGCTAGGTGCACACACACATAGATCTAAGTCTGCAAAACTGTACACGTCTCAAATTACTATTTTGACTGAAACGTTTAAGTTCTTAACAGACAAATGAAGCCAAAATCTATAGTTTCCAAAAGGTAACACAGCCTTCTGTGACCTTCAAAGTGAATATGAAGAAGGACCACATTGGACTGAATTTTACTTTGCTTTTAGGTAGTCAGTTCAGGTTTCTTTGACATACAGAATATTATTTTAGTCCACAATTAAGATTATGAATATTACACAGGCTATCCTTTTGGTGATATTTCATTAAACCTAGAATGAGAAAAATTCTGTGTAGGTAGTAACGTTTCTTTCATGTTTCTTAATGTCACCAAAAAAATCTGTTCTGCAATTCAAAACCAGCATACTGGAATGCTTTTAATACGAAGCTTCTTTACACTTACCTACTCTTTTTGTTGTTTCTACTGTTTGTGCTTAAAGGAAGTACAAAGATAAAAAAATCGTTGTTTTGACATTTTTTAAACACTTGGCTCATGCTTTGCAACTAAATAGATATAATTTTATTCAGTCTTGATCCTGCAATTGCATCAGTGTACGTGCAAATATATGTATGTGGTCATATCACCACAGGACTCCTAGTGAAACCACAGTAAATCTATATTAATGAAAGGGTCCAACCGTGTGAGTACTATTATGAGTGAAACAACCTCAAGCCGATTTGTTTGGTCCAGAGCACCTTAGGAGTGCCATGGAGAGGCTTAAGAAAAATACTAGGTAGAAGAACCTGTGACCATGAGTGATTATTTTAAGAATCTGATGCTTTTTTTCTCAAATACATAAATAAAATCAATGTCGTTGCTAATTCCACTGCAGGGAACTACTGTTTAGATTAATTCTGCTAATTTTAAGCAAATATTATCTACCCAGTGCCTGCTTCATTGAGATGCTGCTGTTAGAGAGAATATCTACCATATCTAATACTTCTATTTTGTGCTGGTTTGCTGTTAGTATATGTGACTCTATGTGCTACTCCCAATGTTATACAAGGATTATAAAGGAGTAGCAGTGGGCTAGTAAAGGGGTTGTTATGCAGACTAAACAGGACCAATGCAAATGGTCAATTGCTATTCTCTGTCATGGGTCCCAGCACAAAGTCATGTTAAGGTGACAGTAATCACATTCTAAACAGCGTATGAATTACAGATACAGTGTCGCCTCTTGGCAAGCTTAGCACAGCTGCTACCAAAACTAAGGTGCCCCTCACAGGGATCTAACTTACATTGGGCCCTGTTTCAGTTTACAGCAGCTCAATGTATAAGCCAAGAGTTCTGAATTTTCAAATGATAATGAACTTTTGTGTTGTGATTCTGTAATTACATAAAGCACTCTGAGATCTAGGCCATACAAGAAAACCAAGCTTAAAGAAGCTCTGATTAAAAGCTGAATCAGGATCACTCAATCTGCGGCTGCATAGGTGCTCTTAATTTTGTGTCCAGTGTGTACACAACACTCGCCAATGAGATCACAACTATTTTTTCTGATAGGCCCATGTCAGTGCAGTTTGTGTGGCACAACACAGCTGAGCTGTATAAATTCACCTTGTCTTTCAGTTAATCTAACTCATTTACCTCTCTCTGTGTTGCCCAGTGCGTACTTTTAAAATGATCAGGGTGTGGTTATCTTGACCAGTTTGCATATAATTGTCTTTTCTGTTTAGCAACCCGTACCTCAGGTTAAATCAATCATTTATTTTTCTAGTATATTTGTGAAATATAAACTCTTATATTCTGACTTCATTCTCTCAGCAACACTTTTGCAGAGCCCTTGAATGTTGCAGAACACAGTGCAGGTTGTTCTTTGGAGCTCTGCCTACAATTACTGTGAATTTTGTATTTCAAATGAGTCATTGCTCCACATCTCTAGGTATCATATGGAGTTCTATACGTGCCTTACAAAACCAGAGGGTTCATCCTGTTTCCTGTCCCCAACATAGACACAGTACCAAGAAAATATTAGGTCATTATGTTTGGAGCTGTTAAAAATAATCTGGATATGTACAAAATAAAGGTTTTAAAATGCAGTTCAGTCAAATGGAAACAGTTTTTTACTGGAACTATAAAGCTAGCAGGTTTATCTTTGTTCCAAATTTTGTCTTTGTCTCCAACTGATAAGGCAATGTAAGTATTCAAAAAGGTTGTGTTAAAGAAAGAGAAGACAAAGACTGTGTTTTAACATATTATGTTCAAATTATCGTTCCCGTACTTTGAGAAAGACTTAGTGTTTTAGCAGACATTAGGAACTGAAAACAGTGACTCTATAGGGCATTATGCTTGGAAAATTAATGTTAATTAAAAAGCACTGTAGCAATGAACTACTGCATGAATCACTTATTATTTTTACAGATCTTGTTCACAAAATGAGGATGATCTATACTTACATGTATAAGGCAGTAATTTACATAGTTATAATGTTTTACTGCAGAACGGTATTTGGCAAATCCTAAAATAATTGCATTGACAAATTTGAAAAAGCTATAATATAAAATCAGTATGTGCTGTTTAGATTTGTTTTGGGAAGGCTTAGATGCATGGAAATAGAATTGAGGATGCTACTTCCATACAATTAGTCAATCGATGTGACCTAGCGAGGTCTGACATTTTTTTGCACTAATATATAAAGATAACTTACCAGAAATGCCCATTTTCATAAATCCATGCATGTGTTCTGTGACAAGTGGGAGTAAAGAGGTAAGGGTGAAAATACCTTTTTATTCCCTTACAGCTTGTCGTCTAAATCAAAAGTAACAAGCTCTAAAATTTGTGAGGCTCTGCATGTCACAAAAGATTTGTAGTTTATTTCCAGCCTTTGGCGATTTGTACTTTTAAGTGTTTCCAAGATGAAGTGTAACATCACTTGATTTAAGGGGCATTTTTCTTTTACCTCTAGGCCAATGCTAACCTATTCCAAGGTCACGTGGAAAGGAATTTGACAAATAAGTGGTGATTTTGGGTGGTTTACAGTTTGAACAGCTTTCATCCCCAAAGTTTTCAGAAAGTGAATTAAGAATTATTGGCTAGTCAGTTAGTGGCTAAAATGCAGTGGAAAGAACATAGAATTTGCATCCCACTTGCGTAAGTGACTAAAATCTGTAATGGAAGACTAAGCTCCTTAGCTGATACGTATTTTCCTCAGTTTCCACCAACTAATCAGAAATCAGATAGAGTTGCAGTGGAAATTTCATTCCACTGCTTGCCTCGACTAATGTGTATTTAATGTTTTGGCTTCAGCTTAGAATGAGCTTTCACACTTGACTGAACAGCGTAGCACTGCCAATAATAGATCATTATTAGGGGCACCATAGCCACCCAAGGTGATTGGCAGTGTGAAATGGTGAGAACATGTTGTTGCCAAAGCTGATGACTGCCAATTACAGTTGTGTGATTTACAGACTGAAATATTCCAACTTTTCGTTATGCTAGAAATATGTCAGGCTCTGAATATTTGACTCTATTTATTAAGCGTAACAGACACATTCAGTTTTATTGACATAGAAGTCAGCACATGAAGAAATTCAGCTATTGTAACATCTCAAAGTAGAGAATGTTTCTCAGGAAAACTTACTAACTGGACAAGAAAAATAGGACAAAGAAAATTCTTCAGTAGAAAACACGCTTTCCTTTTTCTTTATATTTTGTGTCCCAGTCTAGGGTTTCTGAGCCCTAGCAACAAAGTGCTTTTGGTGCAAGTACTCTCCTTGTTTGAGCCATTAGTATTAATAAAAATAAATTTGTTCTCCATTTGGAACAAAGTTTGTCCTGCTTGCTTTTAGTTTTTTAGCCACCTCTAAAGACAAAGACGTTTCCTGTTTCTGCACTGCATATCGAATGAGTGAGCTGAACTCTCCAGATAAGCCCAGTTAATGCAACCTATAACCAAGAGGTCAAGAATCTATTAATGCTAATCTTCCTCCCTTCCCTGATGTAGCCAGCCTGTAAGACTTAGAAACAGTACATTGCTTTTCACTATCCCCTTGAATAAGCCAAAAATTAATATTTTTAATAAATAAAATGTATCAAAATGTGTGTAAATGTAGGGATGTTTAAAATGTTTTTAAGAGGAAATAATATTTTGTCTCAAGGGAGAGTTGGAATATAAACCAGAGCCAGAAGAGACCAAACCACTTACCCTTGTTCTCCATATGTCCTTGGGATACTGAATGGATATTGGCCCTCATTATTTGATAATACTTCATTAAAAATGAGTATTTAACCTTTTGAAGAAAAAGGCAGAGTTCATAATGTGTTTTTATTGTCTTTGATTTGGCTTCTATGCTGTTCCATACATTTCTTTGCTTCCCTACTGCAGCACCACGGTAATGTAATGCATAAAAATAGTGTTTTCATCTTCCAACTTCACACTGTAGATTAACTCCCATTATAAAATTTGTCATACTGATACCTTATTGAGATTCTGCTTTCGTAATAAAAAACGTCCATTTGAAACAGGAAGCAGGCCTTACTAATGCTGCACATTTTGTATTCAGTCTAAAGGCACAGGAGGTTGTTAGACACAAAAAAAAGAACCTACTTCATTTTTCCTGATACAGCTCCTTGAAGCAATTGCATCTATCTATCATTACAGCTGCCCCAATGAATTACAAATCAAAAATTTATAATAGTCTTCCGGAGTTCTCCTGAGATTTGTGTTAGTTTGCTTTATTTATTTACTTTTGTGGGTTTTAAAACATGATCTAGTCTTCTGTAAAATGACCATAGACTCTTGCTTGAATTAAGTGAGGAAAGAGCTCCTTCTAGTGGTGGGCGATCTGCTTCAGAAAATAAATCATTCTGACAAGTAGCAATGTTTGGGGTTTTTTCCTTTCCAGTTCCTTGGTTTCAAATATGCTATCCTGTTATCCAGCAAAATAATAAAGAATTTCTTACTTTTCTTAATTATCTTTTTCTTTGATATAGCATTAGAGTTTCAGAATATTTTTAAAATTCAAATATCTGGCTCTTTTTTTCATCATCACTAATGTTTTTAAAAGGTCTTGTTTAAGTAAGATGTATTAAAATGTCTCAGTAATTGTTTAATACGTTTTTAATGATTTCAAGCTGTTTCTGAAAAAAAAACAGATAGGTAGTTTATAGTAAAAGGAAACATTAATTTTGAAACTGTTTGAGTGTAATTTTTCTTCCAGGAAAGAAACTCCCACTTGTATTATCTAGATACCTAAATTCAGCTGAAAATTTAAGCATAATGCATGAAGTAACAGAGGGTATTGTAAAATGTATTATAAAGTGTTAATGCTATGTTTTATAAGAATTGTGTGATTGTAAATATTCCTGATTTAAATTACTGGAGGGAAATAATTTATCTTTGCTCAGATCACTGTGCTTCCTGTGATTCTAGTCTTGCATAAGAAATATAAGAAAGGTCATAGTAGGTCAGACCAAAGGTCCATGTATTTCAGTATCTTGTCTTCAGCACTGCTTGCAGTCACACAGGAAGAAATGCAATCACAGTAAATGACCTGAGAACAATTATTTTTCTAGGAAATACATAACTTTCTAATTTGTCTCCACAGGACTCTCCTCTAAAAGCTGTACAGATGTTGTGGGTCAATCTAATTATGGACACCTTTGCCTCACTTGCTTTGGCCACCGAACCTCCAACAGAGGCTCTATTGCTAAGAAAGCCGTATGGCAGGAACAAACCTCTTATATCCCGTACCATGATGAAGAATATTCTGGGCCATGCTGTCTATCAGCTTACTCTCATATTTACACTTCTTTTTGTCGGTAAGAAAGTTTGTTAGGCTTGTTGTTTAGTTTGGAAACATCTCGATCTTGTAGCCTGACATATCAAAACCCTTTAAATGTAACCTCTTAATGCACATACCTGAAGTCTGTCATAGTTAAACAGCTAGCAGGACTGAGCTGTTTAACGGGATCAAAAACACCAGGGGAAACAGAACAGATGCAATAGAGGCATTTAGTCACCTTCCATATGTTGTTTACACTGGGACAGGCCTAAGTGAGCTTTTTTGCCTCCTAACAAAATGTAGGTTTGGGTTTGGCAAAAGTTTATGTTAAAGCATAGCATGGAAGATTACATTAAAATCGGAGTATCTATCCTGCTGCTTCTATATTGAAATTTTATTTTGAGATTTGTCATCTTTAGTTGGCATGTAACAACAAATTAAAACACAACAAAAATCAATATCCATTTTACTAATATCTGTAGAAGCTCTAATCGGGAGCAAAATGTTTGCCATAATCAAGAAATAATGCTGATCTTAAGTAGTATAGATAAGCAAGTAATCAGTATTAAGTGATACAAATAACACTCTGTTTTTACATTTAACATCTAGAATAGATATTAAAAAGGGAAAACAATCTAATTTGTTAGATTACTGGACTCTTCTTCAGGCCTTGCTAGCAATGGATGCTTTTTATAGGTTGTATTTTGGAGAAGGGAGAGAAGGAGGAGGAATGTTTCTTGCTGCAGGGAATCATAGGGGCTAATAATAGATTCTGTTGCTCCACAATAATAAGTGAACTTGCTCAAAGGACTGGTAATTTTATCAATTGGGTGTTGTGTTCTTGTCATTACATCATTTCTGTCAAATTACATGCGCTGCCTTTCAGGTTTTTTCTTTATATACAGACTTCTATATAAGCTGTAAATGTAAATTTATGATTCTTAGGAGTTTATTGAACTCCATTGTGAAAGTCTTGCTCCACCTTACCAGCAACTGGCAGCTTATTTGGAATGCTCAAAGGAAGTGATGGTCTGTTTACAGTGGAGCTATTTAAACCAAAATAAAAGCCAAGTTTTGAAGTCAGATGGTCTGTAATATTGTTAGGCTTATAGTGTATTTTGAGAATGTCTAGTGAGTCTAAGGAAATTGTAATTTCATATTCTCTAAAACAGGTGTAGAAGGTCTTGGTAATTCATGTAATATGAATCTTGGAATGAGAATTTATGTGAACTTTATGGGGACTTTTAATGGTCTTTGATTTTTGTGATTCAAAATACTTTATACCGAGCCTCAATGAAAAGAAAACCAGGCTTTTTCACCCTATTCTAATTACTTCTGTGTGTCTCTGGAAAACCCATGCATACTGTGAAGAACGCAGCCCAGCCAGTTTTCTGATAAGCCTGGCAAATACAGTCTTTTCCTTTCTAAACTCCGTGAGGCTCAGCTTTGCTGTAATATGATGTTCTAAACTCAGTGTTTTGATAAATAAATTCCAAATTAATGAGAATTATTTATATTTTGATCAACTAATGCTTCATTTTTTGTAGCAGGTTTCTGTAGAGACTAGTACATCAAGTTTTTCTATTTTTTCTATGATGTGGCAATAAATACATTGTGTTTGAACATACAGTAATGCCTTTGAGACATCAGGCACATCAGAAATCCAGAAGTCACTATCTAGTTCTGTCAAAATGTAGTATAAAAAAACCCTTAACCTCAGCAACTAAGCATAATCTACTTAAATTTGATGTACTATAACGCCTTTTGGAACATGTTTGGAAATAAAAACTGGTTACAGGTTTGACCACTGCCATTCCACAATAGCAGCATGTTCTGCTTTGCCAATTAATGATGAAATGCAATAATAGAGGATTAAGGACAGGTACTCTCACTGAGGAAAGTATTATTCATATATTTGCATTTGTGTGTGTGTTCAATGAAAGCAATGTAATGTATGTGTATATGTATAAAAGATAAAATTATTATATCTATTTGCTTTCATTAATTTTTTCCTTTATTGTTCATCTGTAGTAAAGGGAATGTTTTCCAATAGTTAGTTATCTCTTTGGCGATGTATTATCTTCTTAAATATCTCTGCTCTCTCACAGTCTAAGTTTTGTGGCCTCATATTGTGTTACTGATATATTTGTGATATTGTAATCTACTTTCTGTCAAAGGGCTATAAGCCAAATTCTTTCTTTGGAAATATGCTCATTATTCCCAGTGACTTGAACATGAACTGCTCAAATATCCCAAGGCAAAAAAATGCTCACTGTTGACTTAGCTGATGGAATTAACAAAGGAGAAAACCTGAGGAAACCTTTCTTCTTCTTTCTTCAGAAAGTCTGAATACAATGCTGGTGGGATAGCAGAAAAACGTTCAAGTTTTAATTTGCCTTTATTAACAAAACACTGGTTATGAAAATGAGTAGTATTGTGATAATCTACTCTTACTTCATTCATTATTTGCACTGTCATGTGAATGCCCCATCCTTACTTTAAGACAAAGCCTCTTTCGGTAATAGTATGTTATCTGTAACCTTTGCATATAAGAAAGTGGATGAAAAATTAGACATGAGCTGGCAATATGCACTTGCAGCCCAGAAAGCCAATCGCACCCTGGGCTGCATCAAAAGCAGTGTGGCCAGCAGGTCAAGGGAGGTGATTCTGCCCCTCTGCTCTGCTCTGGTGAGACCCCACCTGGAGTACCACATACAGGTCTGGTGTTTCCAGTACAAGAAAGACATGGACCTGTTAGAGCAGGTCCAGAGGAGGAGCCACAAAACTGGTCAGAGAGCTGGAACAACTCTCCTGTGAAGAAAGGCTGCAGGAGCTGGGGTTATTCAGCCCAAAGAAGTCTCTGGGGAGACCTTATTGCAGCCTTTCAATATAGCAAGAGGCCTTATAAGACAGAGAAGAGAGACTTTTTACCAAGGACTGTAGTGCCAGGACAAGGGGCAGTGGTTTTAAACTGAGAGAGGGTAGGTTTGATTGGACATAAGGAAGAATTTTTTTTACAATGAGAGTGGTGAGACACAGGAACAAGTTGTCTAGTGAAACTGTGGATGCTCTATCACTGGAAATGTTCACATTTCATGCTACATGGTGAGTAATATGGGTTTGAGCAACATGATCTACTGAAAGATGTCCTTGCCCCTGGCAGGGGGATTGGACTAGGTAATCTTTAAAGGTCCCTTCCAACCCAAACCATTCTATGATTCTATAAGAAAAGAGGTCGCCGAGGTGCAGATATCTTTTCAAAACTTTCCTCATTTTTACAGTTACTCATCATGGGTTGTATCGTGTTTTTTTTTATTGGTCAGATCTAAAAGCAATAGCAAAATTTTCAAAATAAAGAGCAATGCTTTATGGTGTGCTTTCAAAGCGAACTAGCAGAATGATCAAAACCAAATCTATTTAAAACCAGGAATGTCCATGATTTTTATCATTAATATCCTTGAATGCTTGTCAAGAGTTATGCCATACTGGATAAATGGGTAAAAACTGCTGAAGAGTGGTAGCTTCTAATTACTGTAGAAAATTGCGGATATACTGTCAATGGTCTTAAGTGCTTGGTACATCCGAAAGACTTGGCTTCTTAGGATAATTAGTACTTCGCTAGAGGAAAAGTACTAATGAAAACTATTCACATAGGTGTACTGAGTTACTAGCTAAAAGTCATCGTTTGAGAAGCTTCTCGCTCAGGATGTTTAGATGTCTCTTGCTCACAGGTGTTACAGATTCTGCCTATATTATGGTAAGTGCAGAAAGAAAGATGGTAAAGCAGAGTACAGGAGGCAACTAGCTAAAGCAAACAAGGGAAATATTTAAGTTTGATTAATTTATTCTAGTGGAAACCTTTATTTTTGTCTTATACGTAGGTGAGAAAATGTTTAAGATTGACAGTGGGAGGAATGCACCACTTCACTCTCCTCCTTCAGAGCATTACACTATTATCTTCAACACCTTTGTCATGATGCAGCTTTTCAATGAAATCAATGCACGGAAAATCCATGGCGAAAGAAATGTCTTTGATGGCATCTTCAGAAATCCTATTTTTTGCACTATTGTACTGGGTACATTTGCTATTCAGGTAATGATTTGGGCAAGAATTGGTAACTGTTCATCAGAAATTTACCTTAAGTTTTTTCCTGTGTGTTTTGGTTTTGGTTTTGTTTTTTAAATCAAAGTGCTGTTGGAGGCACACTCGTAAAGCACCTGGTTTCACATATTTTCTCAATCAATACAAGTGTCAATAATGGAAAATGTTATGTAGCCATACTAATACAGCATAAATTTTGATCATTATAACTAGGTCAAATCTTAAATAAATCTGAAGATGTACAGTAATCACAGCCATCATGATTTGTTGATACTGTTACTGGATTTTTTTGAAGAAATTATTAAATAGTATACCAAACAATACCAACAAAGCATTTTACATTAATTTACTACTCCATGAACAGGCAAATTGGCCTTCAAATAGCTAAAGCTGATCTGTTCCTCTGAGGTCAAGTGCCACTGCCAAATGCTACTCGACATTCTCTGTAGTACTACTTCTTGGTGGTAGTTCTTCATGACTGTCTCATGAGTTTGCTGTTCCAGTTATATGTGAACATCATTACAGAAATACACACTTTTCCCAAACAGTTGTAATTTTTTGTCTGTAAGAACTCTAATTCCTCCTTCTGCTCCTGTATCCATCCATTTGCTGGCATCTGTCCTGTACTCAATACCATTTGATGATACCTTTTAGAAGTCTGCTGCAGTCCTTGCAATCGCCTAGAGTTGAGCTATTTCTATCTTGACATTATTGCTCAATTCTGCAATGGCATCCTCTCTGCTTTCCTAGCAGCTGAAGTACTTAAGTGCACAGTTCAAAACATTAGGATTGCCCTCTGACGGTGAATCAAAAAGGACATGTAGCATAAGAGTATTTGGGCTGTTACTCTCACTTGCTTTTAAGTCTCTTTTTAAAATCAGATCATTTTTCTTGGGACAACAGAAAGTTAATCATTCTATTAATTTTCCACTTTGTTTATTACATTATGGAAATAGAGCTTTGCGTAATGTTGCTTGCTGAAGCAATGTCAGAAAAGTATTTACTATTTTGGCTGTGTGTTTCAATAGTTGGATGTGTGAGCCAAGCATTTTATTCTAAAGAGAAAATTAGTCTCCAGGAACGTGCATTCTGTAGATGGATATGGAAGATTACAGAAGTGATTTTATTTCATGTTTAAAACTTACTTAGTTCCATATGTATTTACAAAACTTTCTGTGAAGTACAGACTAATTGGCTTTGATGTTTCATCTTTGAGTGCAATAGTCCCATTAACTATTAGTTAGTTTATTTTAGTTTAGTCCTCCTCCTAAAAAACTCCTCCAAAAAAAGCAAAAAGCCAGCAGCAGTGGCCAAATTTTCAAACTAAAAATATGGAGACTGTTACAGTGCAGCCTTGTTAAGGATCAGAAAGTGCTTCTGCTACAACAGCTTGAGAAATAAGAGGGTAGTTACCACTCCTGTCTTCAGACTAGGAGTAGCTTTCTTTTATTTTTTTAATTCCTTTCCCTGCTTTCACAACAAAAATTTTCACGGTGAAGGAAGATGGATTAAAATATGGCATACCTACTATATAGCATTTAGAAATTTCTCAGTGTGGAGTTGTAATTTATTTCTCATAATTTTAGAATCATATTCACAAATTTTTTTTTTGTCTTCTTTGTCCTTACTCTCTCCAATCATTTTCCCACTACTTATCCACGGCCTTCCATTCTGTCCCCTTCATTCTTCCTGTGTATTTGCACTTCGTCTGAAATGAGTTTGTGTTCGTAATTTGTGTTTATTCACTCACACAGGAAAGCAACCACTTTATGTATTAGTCTTATTTTGTGTCTTAGACTGAACAAATTACTTTGAACTTCTCTTCTGCAGCCTTTGGCAGTTTAAATCTCTGGCTTGTGATTTCTGTTCCCTGGTTTTGCAGCAGCACTACTAACAAAAAAAATATCAGTAATACCTGATTTTCAGTTAGCAAAACCTTCTCAATCTGACCAGGCTTAGAAACTTGTTCAGATTCTCTGTGTGTTGGTTATCCTGCTACAAGGTGTGTGGTTTTCTCACCCTCTTTCTCCAACAGGACTAGATTTTGGTATACTATCAGTCTATCCATGATAACATGTCTATAAGTGTACAGTAAAATATTAATTAGAGGAAAAAATCTCTCATGCAATGGACATTCCAAAATAAACTACATCAGGGTCAACATATACCCAGCTGAGAATACTCAGGCTGGGGGAATACATGGGGACAGTCCTGTTTTCTTTCTTCCTAGGCATTCGTGTATGACTGTTGTTAGATATGGGGCTAAGGAAGCCTTAGTCTGAACTGATCTGACTTTTTCTCACCTTTAATTCAGGGTGCTGATTTTTAGTCACTGAGATTCTGCGGCTTTTGCTGGATGAGTTCCAACAATGTACTTCTGGTGTCTTGACTTAGTGCCACCTAAGAGTGTCAGATGACGTTTTTGGAATATAAGATAGTATTTTGATTTTGGGTGCTCTTTAGATTCAGTCCACTAAACACTAGACTGTTAATAATACGTTTGAGTATTCTACTGGTAAAATATGTTAGAATCTAACCAGCGGAGCTGTAATATGTAGAAAGACAAAGTGGTTGGGGTTTTTTGGTGGGGTTTGGGGTTTTTTTTTGGGGGGGGGGTGTGTTTTATTTTGTTTTTTCCCCAGAAAATAGTTACCCACTTTCTTCTCTGCTTTTCTTTGTAGATAGTAATTGTCCAGTTTGGAGGAAAGCCATTTAGCTGTTCTCCCTTGCAGCTTGACCAGTGGATGTGGTGTGTATTTATTGGATTAGGAGAACTAGTGTGGGGTCAGGTAAGCATTCAGAAATACGCAGATTTCGTTCTTTTGTTTTTATAAACTGATCAAAGATCTGATATTGTTCATCATCCTGCTATACCGTTGTTTCCTTGGTCTCTCACAATGTCATATTTAGCACACATTGAAATACAGAGTGCTCTCTAAGTACTTCAAGAATAGATGTAGTAGTAAGGATAATTTATCCCATTGTTCCTTTTGATTTTTGTTAATTTTCATATCTTTT